AGGGAAACCGATGTGATTGGACTCGCAGACTTTTGGGGCCGTCTCTGACAATCTCAGCACGCTTTAGTTGGCCGCGGCATGCGCGGGGATGGGGACTCGTGGAGGCGTTGGTCAACTGTGCCATTAGAATCCGAGGAGAGAGCTTCGCTGTGTCTGTGGGATCACAATGCGTGTCATTGGATTGCTTGATCGCGTGGAAGTGGTATCCAATGCGTCTAACATTCGATCACAGCAGACTCGCGTTAGAGAGGATAATGAAAGTACTAACTAACCATCAGATTTTGTCGGATTCTTTAGACCCTTTTATATTTTGATGGATTCGTATATTATATTTTATGCTAGAAAAGTATGATGTGATTTGTGTTGATGTCAACAACCTTACCGTGGCCTTGGACAATTGAGTTCGGGTCCGAATGATTGAGAATTATTTTGAACGACTCTTGAGACTGTTGAGGTGACCGACTACAGTGGTCCGATCGGGACCAGACAGTCATTTCCTCTGGAAGGGAACTCCTCACTTGGGCACACGGTGGGAGGCGTTCCGTCTTCGTCCCTGCATACAGGTTAGGTCGGGAGGCTCGACTCGATCTCTCCAACGATCAAGTTAGTTGATAGTCACAGGGGATTTTTGTCTTTGTTTCTTTCCCCCTCTTTTTGAGCGCGAGGGTTTTTATAGGGAAGGTTATCGTTACCTGATGTGTCCGCTTGTAGGGAGCATGATCGTACTCCTAGTAACGTCTAACATCGGTATTGGCGTGGCATGAAGGACCGGGCTCGCGTATGATATTAATGTGCCTCGGTCGACGTTTCGATCTGTTTTGGCCAGACGTTGTCAGGTCAATTGAAACGCGAGGCGTCATCAAGGCGCAACTAACGTTAACCCATGTCCCATCGCCATTATTGTCTTCATTAGTTTGTATTATGATTTTATGGTAATAAATCTTTTCTTTTCGAAAAAATTAGGACTGAACTTTGGGTGTCACAAATTGAAATTAATTCTAATTGGGTCTGAAGCAAGATTTCATTTTCGATTTGAGTGCATCAGATAAATCTGGATATCTGAAAAAACACTATCATCCTTAGATCTAATTAGATATCCGTAAATCCAAATCTAAATCTGTTGTCTTTTTTTTTCCTCTTTCAAATGTATCCGAGAAAAGAGTATCTAAATTGACTCGGAAAGATTTGGATGTCCAATTTGGGACCTGATTTCATACCAGCAAGTGGCTGAAGGCAAACATGGCACGAACAACTGATTCCCGCCAAACAGTAATAACCGAAGTCTCCCGCCTTTTGTTCTCGCCCTCCCGCCTCCTACCGGCTCTCGTTCCCAGTCGCCGCTCCCCCTTTCCTCCATCCAAAGAAATGATCGCAGGAAACGAAGGCCAAAGAAAGATCAACAGAGAGAAGACAGAGGAGGAGAAGAAACGCTCTCTGATCTCCTCTGTTCTACACGGACTGATGCAATCCGATAGAAGCACCACCAGAACGCGCCACCCATGAGTTCCCAGTACCACCATCTCTCCTTCCTTCTCGTCTCCCTGTGCCTCGTTCTTTCCTCCTCTGCCGCCTCTTACGTCCCCTCCGATTCGATTCTCCTGAACTGCGGTTCTTCCTCGGAGGCCACCGACTCCGACGGTAGGAAATGGATAGCTGACTCGCCGACGTCGACATCTAGCCTCGTCTCGAAGAACTCCAACCCGGCCACCGCCGTGTATCAGGACCCGTCTCTCCCTTCGGCGGTCCCTTACATGTCTGCGCGGATCTTCGCGTCGGAATCAACCTATAAGTTCGCCGTCAACAAGACCGAGCGGCACTGGGTGCGTCTTCACTTCTATCCCTCCACCTACGGCGACCACGCCCCGAATAACTCGTACTTCGCCGTCTCCACCTCCGACGGCGTCACCCTCCTCAAGAACTTTAGTGCGTACATCACCGCCAAGGCCCTCACGCAGGCCTACATCGTGAAGGAGTTCTCCATCCCGCCGGCCTCCGACGGCAGTCTAAGCCTCACCTTCACGCCATCGAACGACCACAATGGTTCCTTCGCCTTCGTCAATGGCATCGAGATCATATCGATGCCGGCTATCTACAGCGAGCCGGCGGAATTGGTGGGCTTCTCCGATCAGAATGTCGAGGTTGGGGATTCTGCTTTGCTCACGATGTACAGGCTCAACGTCGGAGGGCAGTACTTGCCGGCGAGCAACGATTCCGGCCTTAGCCGGACTTGGTACGACGACTCTCCCTACATCTATGGTGCTGGGTTCGGTGTCACCTCCTCGGCAAGCGGCAAACTCGAGATAAAGTATCCGAAGGATACGGCGGAGTACCTTGCCCCCACTGACGTCTACAGCACTGCTAGGTCGATGGGTCCTGATCCGAAGGTCAACATGAACTTTAATCTCACTTGGATCTTCCAAGTCGATGGCAACTTCACCTATCTCGTCAGGCTCCACTTTTGCGAGTTCCAGATGAGCAAGATCAATCAGAGGGTCTTCGATATCTTCATCAACAATCAAACTGCACAAGCTCAAGCAGATGTGATTGCGTGGACTTCTGCAAAGGCCGTGCCGACCTACAAGGACTATGCGGCGTACGTGACCGATGGCGCCGGCGATCAGCAGCTGTGGGTGGCGTTGCACCCTTCGGCGGCGGCAAAGCCCGAGTATTACGACTCTGTTCTGAATGGTTTGGAGATCTTTAAGCTGAACGATGGTGTCGGGAACTTGGCAGGACCCAATCCTGAGCCGTCTGCGTTGCTCGCCGAAGCCGAACTGAGCACAGAGCAACCTAGCTTCGCATCCGAATCCAGTAGGAAGGTGCACATGATAGGCAGTGCGGCAGGTGGAGTTGCAGCAGCCAGCGTCGCCCTTGCCATTTGTGCTGTGGCCTATCGGCGCAAGAAGGGGATTACTGGAGATGAGTTCGGTGGTGGTGGCGCAGGTTGGTTGCCTCTCTACGGTGGCAATTCTCGTTCGTCAGCTGGCAACTCAACGATCTCCGGCAAGAGCTGCGCGAGCAGCCACCTGGCTAACTTGGCGGCGATCTGCAGGCATTTCTCCTTCGCTGAGATCAAGAAGGCAACCAAGAACTTCGACGAGTCGCTCGTTATAGGAGTTGGGGGATTCGGGAAAGTCTACAAAGGAACCGTAGACGGGGGAACCAAAGTGGCGATCAAGCGATCGAACCCATCGTCGGAGCAGGGCGTCAACGAGTTCCAAACTGAGATCGAGATGCTCTCGAAGCTGCGGCACAAACATCTGGTCTCCCTCATCGGATTCTGCGAAGAGAACGGCGAGATGATCTTGGTTTACGACTACATGGCACACGGGACTCTCAGGGAGCACCTTTACAAGAGCAACAAGCCGCCATTGCCATGGAAACAGAGGCTGGAGATATGCATCGGAGCTGCACGGGGACTTCACTACCTCCACACCGGTGCCAAGTACACGATCATTCACAGGGACGTCAAGACCACCAACATTCTACTGGACGAGCATTGGGTCGCCAAGGTTTCGGACTTCGGGCTGTCGAAGACCGGCCCCACGATGAACCAGTCTCACGTGAGCACGATGGTGAAGGGGAGCTTCGGGTACTTGGACCCCGAGTACTTCCGGAGGCAGCAACTGACCGAGAAGTCCGACGTCTACTCCTTCGGTGTCGTCCTCTTCGAGGTGCTGTGCGCGAGGGCAGCACTGAATCCAAGCCTCCCGAGGGAGCAGGTCAGTCTTGCGGACTGGGCACTGCAATGCCAAAAGAGAGGAGTTCTGGCAGACATCATCGACCCCCAGCTCGAAGGAAAGATCGGCCGTGAGTGCTTGCACAAGTTTGCAGAGACTGCCGAGACGTGCCTCTTGGATCATGGAGTCGATCGGCCTTCCATGGGGAACGTGCTGTGGAACCTCGAGTTCGCGCTTCAACTGCAAGAAAGCTTCGAAAGCGGGGAACCCGTTTCAGAGGAGATGGCAGACAAAGCTGCAGCGGTCGGCAATGGCGTTGCCCTTGCTGCAGTGAGTGAGGTGAGCGATGACACAGACGGGCAGAGCACGGTTGCAGTCTTCTCGCAGCTCATTAATCCAGTGGGGAGATGAAAACTTCCTCCTCCTGCTTCATTCAATCAGTGAAAACCCTATCAAACTACTAGTCGACATGTAGCAGCATTAGGCTGGTGAAAGATGACCTCCTCCTCTTCGGACTACTATTTCTATCTTTTATTCCTTCTAATTAACTAGTTTGTAATCTCTTCATGATTTGTAATTTACATCTAAGGCTACTTGATGTTGTTTATATTGTGCAGTTTGTAATGTTTGATTGCCTTCGATGGGTATTTCCAATCAATAAACAGTGCTGATATATATAACAAGCCAAATAGGAGAACAAAACCACTTATATGCAGTGTTTATGGCCAGTTTCAGTACATCAGCAATCAAAGCCATCTCCAACTAAGCCATGCATTTGCTGCAGTTCATGCAATAAAAGCAATAAGTAGGAGAATTGCAAGATTCAAATATATATACATATAAATATATAATTGCAAAATTTAAAAATAAATATTAAAATATATTATTTTAGTTATTTTTGTTGATTTTTAGCATAATTATGTTGGGACTCGGATAAGCAAATATAATTATCTCCTTCAAAAATGGGAAATCAAATAATTAGTGAAAATAACAAAGAATTTTTTAAGTAGTAAAAACTTTAATATATTTTTAAAATGAACTATAATTATTTTAAAATAAAAAACTAAACTACCTATAATTATTTTAAAAATTAAATTATATATATATATGTAAATATTAAATTTGAAGGATTACATAATACAATAATATAATTTGGAGGGGGAAAATTAATTTGGGAATAAATTGGATTAGAAGTTATTGGGCTGGAGATTAATGGATCATTGGGTTATTAATGGGCTATTGGGCCGTTTTGGGCTTTTAGTTGGGCTTACCATTTTTATACCACCAACATAACCCGTGCGTGTATTTGGTTCTTCTGGGTCTTGGTTGCGTTCGCCGCCCTCTTTGGTTCTTCCTTCGACGCCATGGCGCATCGGCTGCTGAGAGACGCCCAAGCCGACGGATGGGAGCGTTCCGACTTCCCCATCATCTGCGAGTCCTGTCTCGGCGACAACCCCTACATCCGAATGGTATGGCCCTCCTCCTTCTCCTCCTCCCTTTCCCTCCCTCCTCTGTGCTTCTCCTGTGCCTCTCTCCCCTTTTGAAGAAGACGGAGAATCACGACACCAGGTGATGAAATCAATCGAGGGAGGCACCTGCGTAAGCTTGTGCCTTCTCATCGTTTGGTTTTGGCAGCCCTAGTTCCGCGGTCGGTTGTGCTTGGTTTTAGGGCTTCTTTGATATATATATATGCTCGCTGGGAAACATGATGAGGTGATTGGTTTGTGGAGTCGGAGAAGAACTTGTTCTGGTTGGATTGAGTTGGAGCAGAGTCGCTTGTTATCGGCTTAAAGATGGAACTTTTCGCACAGTTGTTTCATTAATTTAGAAGTTTTCTAGATTAATAAGCAGACTAAAGGGATGCAGTAGGGTGGATTTGAATCTACTCTTGTTCCGCTCTTGAAGACAAGGCTATCTTTTGAGAGCTTGTTCTCCTTTAAAATTTGGTTATATTCATCTTTGTAAGAGGCTATTTAATATCTCGATCCGTTAGCTTGTGTTTTAGACTTGGACATAAAGGGGTTTTCTGCTTCCTGTGGTTAGATTTATTGGTAGTTGTTGTACAATGAATAGCTCAAGGATTACCACCAGTTTGATTTATAAATTCTGTTGATGGTTTAGCAGGTGAAAGAGTAGAGAGGCGAACAGCATCGTGGCCTTATTTCCCATAAATTCTGGTGGAATGTGATAAATCGCTTATTGGTGTTTTATAGGGCTTAGGGTGGGGTAGTTGTTTGAAGTGCACCCTTTTTTTTCATAGGTTAAGCATAGAGTTCTGCTTTAGTTTGGTTGGTGCTCAAGCTAGAGTTCATTCTGCAAACAAGTCACGACAGGATTTAGAAATGGTGATATTAGTTCTATGATATCTACTGGATTGGTCAGTTATTTGTGGGTTCGGTGCTACTGTTGGTACTCATTTGAGGTTTTGGTATGTTAGGATATAATGGACTATGCTTATTTCCTTAGAAAATCTCATGTAGTCAAAATTGGTAACAGTTTATTGTGAGTTTCTCTGATGAAGCTAAAATTTTCCAAAGGTTTTTCCTTGCTTGGCTTATGCTAACTTCATGGAAAAAAAAAGTACTAGGAACCCTTAATATCAAGAGATGGGCTAAATTTGTTTCTTTTTTGTTTGTGTAAACTCTTATATTTTGGTTATGGTGAATCTTTTAACTGCTGAATGTTTAATGGCTTGTTGATGATTTTGTTTTAGAAATAACTTAGTATTTGAATTGCAGTGCTCTTTGTAGGATATGGAAGTTGTTTCTTGTTGAGGAAACAACAATCACTATGTTTGCCAATAATGGGTATCTCCTGTTAAATTTGAAACACCTTTAGCAAATTGTTTGGAGGAATAGTTTAGGTGTCCTTGCACTGTGGGTTCTGTCACCTTCAAGTTGAACCGTCTAACTGGAACGAACCTTCTCATTGGCTTCTTTACTTTGTTTGTGCAGACAAAGGCTGACTATGATAAGGAGTGTAAGATCTGCAAACGGCCTTTTACAGTCTTCAGATGGAGGCCTGGACGTGATGCAAGGTACAAGAAGACAGAGATCTGCCAGACATGCTGCAAGCTGAAGAATGTTTGCCAGGTGTGCATCCTTGATCTTGAATATGGGTTGCCAGTTCAGGTTCGGGACACTGCTCTTGCAATCAATTCTAATGATGCCATCCCAAAGAGTGATGTGAATCGGGAGTACTTTGCTGAAGAGCATGACCGCAAGGTATGTTGGTGAATGAGCTTTTCTTGTTCCTTTATAGTGATTGTTCACTTTTTATTATTGTGTTAATTTACTGCTTTGCAAGACTTGTTTTGTTTCTCTGCCTGATCATTTACTTATTCATCTGGACTCCACATTGAGTAAGCTTTATTAGTGTTGTTCACACCTTCCTGCTGCTTCTTTTACATTTGTTTGCCTTGTGTTTCTCTGCTTCACTATTTTAACTGGCTTTGGTATTTACTTGTAGTAGTCAGTGAGACAAACTTATCAGGAAATAGAATAGAAGTTCAATTTAACTGTCTTGTATAAATTGGTTCATTTATAGGATTTGAGACTGTATTTAGCTGTAATCCTTGATCCTAATAGCCAAGTAGGCTTCTAAAGGAAATGAAAGGCATAATATTGTACCTTTTATCTCTTAGAAAATCTAAATCTATGAGGTTTCTTGAGTCTAATAGTATTTGTCTTTGCTGATTTTTGTAATTTTCTCTTCTGATCCTCATCATCCTTCTCTGAAATTTGTGTATTTGTGCTGTGATTATTGATAACTCCTGTTTTCTGTTCTATAGATATTTTGCAGCATACTTTACATGGTTTCTATCCACCTATCAGTTATTCTTTATGTTTCAGCAGCTTACTCTAGATTACCTTCTCATCACCTGCAATTATATGCATCGAGTCTTTGTTTGCATTTATTTCACTTGATTTGATCCATAAATCTCTATTGCATTATATGCTTTTGCATTGTGCATTGTTTTTGTGGCATCAATCAAGCACTGGACTATTCCTAATTGGTCTCAGCATGAATTTGTATTAAATATTCCTTTTTTACAGGCCAGAGCTGGCATAGATTATGAGTCTTCATATGGGAAGGTGCATCCAAATGACACGATCTTAAAGCTTCAAAGGACAACACCATATTACAAAAGAAATCGAGCACATGTTTGTAGCTTTTATATGCGTGGTGAATGCACTCGTGGAGCTGAATGTCCATATCGACATGAAATGCCTGAAACTGGTGAATTATCTCAGCAGAACATAAAAGATCGATACTATGGGTATGTGTGATAGCTAACTCTCTAGGAAATGTAGAATTGCATCAACACAGAACTAGGGGAAATTTTCATCCAGCTTACAGCTCAAGGCATATGGAGCATCTTATTTTTTGCCTGTACCTAAATCTATTAACTTCTGCACAGACCATAGTCATTGGCTAATTGTCTAATCAAAATGAAGTAGTTGTCATCTTTTCCCTGTTTATATTCTTCTCTTTTGACGAGATGTTGTCAGTTGTTTGGTTATCCTTATGGTGACTTGCTTCATGGCCTTATTTGTGATAATTGTATGTTTTACAACTCCATCCATGAGAAAAAAAAGAGAGGAAGAAGACGTGTGCAGTTTATTTTAAGTGTATTTTTTTCAGTCTCTGGGAGTGTTCTTCTGGTACTTCAATGTGCTTCTAGTTTTCTTCGTAGTCTTAGATTGTTATAGAGATGGATATTACATGAGATTAGACATGTATCATCTGTGTCTGAAGTTTCCCATGCAACATTACTTCATTCCAGTCTACAATGTAAATTGTTCCCTTGTAGAATCTTGGTTATGAAGCCTTAAATTACCTCTTTTTTCTTTGCTAGTAATATTATTAATTATAATGGTTCTTGATGATCTATAAATTGCTTCTTATATGCAGAGTGAATGATCCTGTTGCCCTAAAGCTTCTAAGCAAGGCTGGTGAGATGCCATCTCTGGAGCCCCCAGAAGATGAGAGTATAAAAACCCTGTATGTCGGTGGCCTTGATGCCCGAGTCTCTGAGCAAGATCTGAGGGATAACTTCTATGCCCATGGTGAGATTGAATCCATCAGGATGGTGCTTCAGCGAGCATGTGCATTTGTAACCTACACGACAAGAGAAGCAGCTGAAAAAGCAGCAGAGGAGCTTGCCAACAAGCTAGTCATCAAGGGCCTTCGTTTGAAGCTGATGTGGGGGAGACCACAGGCACCAAAACCAGAGGGAGAAACGCAAGATGACGATGCTGCAAGGCAAGGGCTTGTTGCCCATGGAGGGATGCTCCCAAGGGCTGTAATATCTCAGCAGCAGAGCAACCAGCAACCTCTACCACCAGGCACTGAGACTCATCAGCAGCAACAACCTAACTATTTCAACATCCCTGCACCGCCACAAGCTGCACGGACATTCTACCCGTCGATGGATCCTCAGAGGATGGGTGCTGTAATCCAATCACAGGGAGGTAGCGATGACAAAACTGGATCAGAAAAGCAGCAAGGGCAGCAAGCACCAAATGTTCAGGGGCATGCTTATCCTATGGTTCCTCCACATCTTCAGGGCCAGTATCCACATTATTATCCACCATACGGGTATATGGCCCCACCCCCACCACCGTATCAGCAGCAGTATCCCCCTTACCAGTCGATGATGTCCCGACCACCTCCACCGGCACCACCTGCAATGCAGCAATACCCTCAAGGGCCACCTGGACCATCGTAAGGGAGATTCTCTTCGAATACTTGTCCTTTGCACTTCTCTTCCTTGAAAAGAATCATGCTTGTTGCACTGTTAAGAAGATCTAAATGTGCTATCAAGAATTATAAGCTAATCTGACTTGGAAGTTTGGGTGCCCCTGTAATTTCATTTATGCTGTTACGCCAGTGAGACCAGTAGTCTAGGACAGGATATCAGGGTCTGCTGGAGTTTCGACCAATCCATATGGCAACTATGATATCAATATTGGTATTTGTACCCAACTTAACAAGGATATTGTTGGCAGTATTAAATCTGAATGAAGCAAAATTGTAATGCCAGTCTGCAATGTACTAAAGTTGTGTGTGTATTAGGAAAACTTTTAGCTCTTTGAGATTTTGATAGCATGTTCCAGCTATATGACAAAAAGGTGCTATTGGAGCAAATTTTCATTTTGTTGCATCTTGACCATCTGCTCTTGATTTCAACTGCATGAATACAATAATAGAAAACCTTGTTGGATTCTCTAGGTGTGAAGTTTAATTTATAGCGTGAATCCATCGATTCCAAGTGTTTTTAGCGAAGAGGGCTAAATGTGTATTTGTTGTATTTAGATCTTTTAGTATCCTTATTTTTAGATTAAAAAATTTATAAAAATTTATATTAGAATCCTTATAGTTATCTAAATTTATATTAGAATCCTTATAGTTATCTAAATAAAAGTAAAACATCTTGTTTACTTTAACATCTTCGATTTTATTAACAAAAATATGAAAATAATGGATTAAAAAAATAATTTAGATATTCTAGTTGATGGTGGTTGCGAAGGATGAAGCCATTGGGGGTTGCGAGTGACTGTTTATAAATGAGCTGTATTGATGTCGACACAGTTGCCAATTGGCTCTTTCGCTACTCTACATCTGCGTCAACGCAATTACCGAGCGATAAAAGGATCACTTAAACATGTGTATCGGTGCCGACACAATTGCTGAACAATGGAAGGGTCGCTAATATAAATGTCGAGCGACTCTTTCGTCGCTCACTATGTCAGCGTCAATGAAGTTATCGAGTAACGAAAGGGCTACTCACTGTGTCGGTGTTGACATAATTGTCAAGCGACGAAAAGGTCGTTCGATGTGTCGACACCAATGTAGTTGTCAAGTGGCGAAAGGGTCACTCACTGCATTGGCATCGAAGCAGTTGCCAAATGACAAAAGGGCCACTCACTATGTCGATGTCAATACGGTTGCCAAGCAGGGTTGCTATGCATCTGTGTTGGCACCAATGCATATGTCAAGCAGCTCTTTCACTGCTCGACAACTACATCGATGTCAATACAATGAGCGATGCTTTCATCGCTTAACAACTACATCGGTGTCGATGCAATGAGCGGCTCCTTCATTGCTCGACGATTGCATCGACACCGACGTGATGAGTGGTCCTTTTGTCACTCGACAATTACGTCAACCCTGATGTAATGAGCAACTATTTTATCGCTCGACAACTACATCGACGCCGACAAACATTCCTCACCTTTTATCACGTCTCTCCGCATTAACAACAAACACCTGTAACTCCCAACAATGCCATCGTCTACCACCATCGATGTCATTTGTCACCACAAACATAATTAAAATTATTTTTTTCTCATTATTTTTATATTCTCATCAATAAAACTGACAATATTAAGATAAATAAACCTAGATATTTTACTTTTATAACTATAAAAATTTTAATATAAAAGTTTTAGGTCTAAGAATAGAAATACTAAAAAAGTTCAATTATAGAGATACTCCATAATTAACCCTACAATAGAACTCCAAGATTTGTATGTATGGCAGCATGAGTCATGGACCATGTAGTTCGTTCCAATGCATTTGCAAAACCCTTTTAAAGATCAATTGTAGGAAAATAAACTCGGTTATGATTTGTCGTTTTAGCAATAAAAAAAAGACATACAACCTAAATGATGTTGCTCACAATGTTGTGTTGCCAAAAGATATCCATATCAGAGTTGAAAACTAGCAATAAATCTTAGCAAAAATCAATCATGGATGAAGCTCAAGGAAGTTCAACAAGTAATACTACGTGTCTTAATCCGACAATTAGAGAGATTATTTCCAAAGCTCAGAACCTAAGTTACAAAGAGCAATCTTACAATGCTACCAAGGTTCATCCTCTTTATGGATGATACATCACGTTTGACAAATGTAAGCACACAGATATCATACACAGCCTCAGTTGGGGCACCTACAAGGAGCTCAGGCTTCCTTGAATACCAAAAGAACCAAAATGTATTTTTCATAAATCGAGATAAAAAATTTTGGTGTCTGTCATTCACAAGCAATTTGATGCAAGCTGAAACACTAAGAATCAACAGACAACATAAATACTGTACCAGCACAAAGCGTTTTATTCATCAAAAAAGTTTGACTAGTGGCTCACCTTAAACTTGCCCTACAAGAGTAGGCATCATACCTGTCCTTGGCACTGCTACTTCATGACGGTTGAACTTTGCACTTTGCTAACCAAAAGGTAAAACTTACAAGCCACAAAATGATGAATTTAAGCTACAATGGAAGAGAGAATTTATCGGCGACATTACTTCTTTCTTCAAATGAGTAACAAGAATTATCAAGTCAACATGTGATGATATCCCAATTCCAACGGAAGTTTAAAAGCAGGCAAGCAATGGGAAAATATGAATTAACTATAAGACTAAACAAATTCAATTGACAATAACTGGGAAGGAACACCATTATACTTCATGAAATTTCTGTGCATGTTTTAGGACAAAACACATCAAAAAACAAACAGCTTGAAGTACTTGGATTTTAGCAATAAAAATAGGTGCAACAATCAGAAATCTTTCCAAGTTGCAATAGGTAACAGAAGTGAAACAAGAACTATTAGACACTTATTATACATAAATAGCATATCCATGAAAGATTCCTTGAGGATGGCCTACAGGAGAGTTTGCAAGGTAGTAGGAGAGAATTACCAAGACAAAAACTCCCAATACAAAGCCACACTTTACCACCAAATCTGTTGGTAAAAATTGGATGAACATCCTCTGCATTGATTCCAAGTCAAAGAGCAGCAGTTAACCTAGAGCTAGGTCTAATGATTCAACAAACCAACTCTTGATTGGTAATGCACATGATTAACCTGCCAATGGAAAAAACCTGAAGATAAGAAGAAAAGGCTGTCAGAAAGTTTTATATCATTTTTTTTAATTTTTAATATTGTGTAAAAATTATCTTACTAATATTATTGAAAATTTTGAAACAAAAAATTTTGGAACATGAATGTTCATAACAGAGCAAGTTTACATAGCTTGATTTGCACTCACCACTTTCAGCATCCCAACAACTAAACCTCAAACCCAAGGCAAAAATCAGTATCTCTTCCATTATTAAATTTGTGCAATTGCAAGTGATTAATAAACTAAAAGGCTGATGAAAGTTGAAACCCAGAGCACGTTATGTTGCCCTATTTGATACAAGCCTCTTTTGAATTGCAAATAAAATGAGGTACAGAGAACATCTTCCAAAAAATTTATGTCAACATGATTGTGAAAAGGAAAAAAGAAAAGGGGGCAAAAACTACTGATAGCAATAATCGAAAATAGTAGCCTGGCTTCCATATGTGAAATTAGTTAACCAAAAAAAATATTTTTTAATCATGGACCTTGACTTATTACAAGTTACTTCTGTAAAAAATTTTCAATAAAATAATTTCAATTAACTTTCGATTCATGTAAAAGATTACTCCATTATACAAAGAACAGATCAAGAAGATATGATCCAATAACAATGACAATATATCAATTTTTAAAATTTTTGCATTAATTTCTACAAAGAAATGTTGGCCTAGTTTAGCTTGGCAAATAACAATGCTAGACAATAAGAGCAATAATATATATGAGATATATGTCAAAAGATTTTGTCATAACTAACGAATTCATGACAAAGAAAGTCCACTTGGTGTTATTTTAATCTGTTCAGGCCTCTATGTTGCTACTTCCGTAACTTAAAACATTAAAATGCATTTCTGAGCTTGTTTAAGCCTTTTCTATTATGAATGTAAATGGATAGATTTTCCTAGAAGAATTATTTACAACCTGCACACAGCATAACAATGGTTGTTACCTGTGGATTATTCACCAAACAGAGGCAGGCCCTCACATTCTCAAAATAAAAATAACAAAGGTCACATGCATCAAAGTTCCAAACATATAACAAAGTGAACAATGTCAACCAATAACAGGCTAATCAACCATCAGGCACGTAATGAGAAATGGTCTGAGATGAGAGAGTCAGGGAAAGGAATAAAAGAGAAGAGATAGGAAGGAAGAAGCAAGATAGAGTGAAGGTTTATGGCAGTTATGAGGGAGAGACAGGAGATGGGTCTCCCATACTCTTCGCCTCTTGCAGCCTATGCCTGTGACCAACTCCCACCACTTAAAATTGTCTATCATCATGCAGGAAAACCTATACAATCTGCATTTTGAGTTGCTGTCTTTGCATATGTTCTAAATCTTTGCAAAACAAACAAGAGGGACCAGAATTGCTAGTCCTTTGCAAGTTGCAGTAAGTTGTAAAAGTAACAAAGGGTTCTGTATCTCAGTATGTATCATGGGACAAAATGCACAAGCAACATCTATTAACACACGAACAAAATCTACGTTTGAGGCCACTCTAGATCTCACACCTCTAGTTGCTAAAAGACATCTGATGTTTTCATAGAAGTGCCAAATTCTCTACTATCTGCAAAACAGAATGCCAAAAAATTTGTATACGCTAGATTTCAACAGCATTCATTGCTTTATGATTACAATTTCCCAAACACAAAAGAAACTAGCTACAAAAAAGACATGTTTTACTGTCAAAGACAATGAGGACAACAATGCCCAATAGTTTCTATGATTATATCTATGAATGTAAAATTTGAAGTATCAAAATGTGGAAGATTGTAAGCAATGCATAACATTTCCTTAATCAAATATACATTATTTCAGAGATCAATTATGTCCTCTCAGAAGTAACCTAAGATCAGAATCAACGACGCAACAGTGGAAATATGTCTACACAAAAAGAGAACAAATGCTTCTTTCAATAACTTCAGAACCTGGATGAAATTTCTAAACTTGCATGTTCCGAAGAAGTTATCACATAATGAACAAGACAAATTATATGGAAGTTATTCTGTACTGTTACATACTATATACATCTTGCATAATTTTTAGGATCTCCTGCTGCCAGAAAATAAGCAACTGCCCTTAAGGCTAGTCCTCTTCTTGTTTAAGAACCGATCACTCAAGTTCTAAATGTCTGCATAGTTCTTTAA